CATTTTTTTTTTTTATGTGGAGGGATGCACACCCGGGTGTTGGATCTGGGTGTGCACCAATCATGGTCCATATGTCAAATTTATAATACTTATACAATATTTAGAATTTATAATTTCGTAAAGGTATTAACCTTCATTAAAAGAAAAGATATGAAGGATTAGAGTTCAAAAGACAAATCCTATATATATATATTAATATCTAGTGCCTATTCAATATTTATAAGAGTATTATACAAAAAATACAACTCTATTCAATATTTAGGAAGGCATTATACAAAAAAATATTGCTTTATTTAATATTAAAGTTTAAAAGGCAAATCCAAAATACGTCTAACCAAATACAAAAAGAAATTAGATCGGAATTGATTTTTATTAATTAAGAACAAATTAACAACTAAGAACGGACTTTGATATTCTTTATGTTATTATCTTTGTACTTCTAATGGTTATGAGGATATCTTAATTACTAGGTTTTGATTTTCAATAGGCATTTTTGCTTCTTATTTTTAAAAAATAATCTTTTTTACGATATCATATAACATAATTCACTACGTGTCACCTAATTTAATTTTTTATGCGAGTGCCACCAAAGATAAGGATTAGAGAGGTTGAGATAAAGAAGGGGAGAGCGAGAGTGGAGAAGAGGAAAAGTTGAGAGAAAGTGAAATTAATGAGAGATTAGGGTTTGAGTATTTTATTTATTTTTACTTTTAGGATTAGGAAATTAGAAATTTAAAATTAACTTTTAAGTAATCTAATAAAAAATAAATATATAAAGTTCGGGTGACTTGACCCACCCGTGACCCAATCTATTTGGGTTCAGATAATTTTAGTCCGGGTTATTTTGAATTTCGGATTAACACATAGAACCCATAACCCTACTCATAATGGATTGGTTGGATCGGATTTTCGGATTGGATCTAATTTTGCCAAAACTACTCAGTGGTAACTCATTGCCTCTCAGAACTCCAACATTATTATTATTTTTTAATTTTAAATTGTATAATAAAAAATAATTTTTCTTATCTCTTAACACTCACCAAAGTTGTATATTATATAACTTAAATTTAAAATCTTTTATTTCGATAAAAAAATATATTATTAAATTATTTAAATTATTGACAAAACTACAACATTATTATTTTCTCTACAAGCTAGTTCATTAGAATTCTTCATGAAATTTGAATTATCATCTAATTAATTATTCATCTCTTAACACACACCACTTGCATATTATATAATCTAAATTTAAAATCTCTTACTTCTATCAAAAGAAAATTATTACTAAATTACTTAGATTATTAGCAAAACTACAACATGATCATTCTCTCTACAAGCTAGTTCATTAGAATTCTTCGTAAAATTTGAATTATCATCTAATTAATTATTCATGTAAAAATTGTGGAGAAAGATATGCTCTTTGAGCACTCAAGCTCATTTTTCTTGAATTTTTCTTATCTCGCTTTTTTTGTATATCATTTTGAATCTATCTTCCCACCATTTTTATCATACTAGAATGACTAAACTACCCATCACTAAAATATTTGTAAAGTTAAGGCAAAAAATCTCCATAATCTAGTAAAATTTTTTTGGGCCCATAAAAATAACATATATAGTGAATGAATTTGAATGGTCTAAATGGAAAGTCTATTTTCCAAATTACCCATTTTCTTCTAGATACAAATAACCCAGTGGTTTCTTATATCTAACCTACCAAATTCTAACCCCCAGCCCCCAACCTTTTTTTTTTTTTTTTTTTTTTTTTTGGAGGAACTAACCAACCAAATTCTCTTAAATAATAGGCTCTGACACAGATTTCCTTATTCGTTTCTACTTGATATTTGTAATTTACAATGATAAATAAGAAATGACTTGGCTACCATGTAAGCACTTTGGTGGGGCCCATTTTCCGCGTACAAACATCCTCAAAAGTCAAAAGTTAACCTTGATTTTTTTCCTTCTTAGGGTTAACCACTATTTAGCCCTTATACATTTTAAGATTATTAGCCCCACTTAAGTATTAATTCCTCAATAATATAATTTAGAGAAATTTTCTTTTATTTAACATATTTAATGTGAATATCATTAATTAAACGTTATTTTTATCTTTAGTTAATGATGCATCAACATTTTTATCCTATACTGCCCGCCATCATAGCAATTAACATATAGAAAACTCTCCCTCAATGTAATTCAAACCCCACCCTATTATATTAAACAAAAAAAAAAAAAAAAAAAAAAAGAAAAAAGAAAAAAATGTCAAAACGGAAATCTAAAGTCCTGCCACTTTAATATGTCATGTGGGATAAAAAAGCTAATATATTATGGACTAGGATAAAAATAATATCAACTAATTATATGTGCTGTACATTTATTAAATAAGGTAAAATTCTCTTAAATTATATTATTAAGATGCTAAAACTTTTCAATTTTTATATGGGGGCCAATAACCTTCAAAGCTATAAATTAGAGGGCTAAGTAGGGTTTAAGCCTTTTTCTTGATCACAAAAGAGGTTTCCTTGAATTTTTTTCTCAAATCCTTTTTTTTTAAAATTATTTATTATGTTTTATTTTCCTATTTATTCGCGGAACTTTTGCCCCCTTTTTCTATTTAATTGTGCCATGCCTATTGGGGAAAACAAATAAAAGGAAATAACAAAAAGAAAATTTTCAACTTTCCATCTTTGTAAATTCAATTCTCTCTATATAAGAAGTAGAAAAGGACCAACAAGGGGTTGGATCAAGTGGCAAGCGGCTTGTTTCAGCTTAAACAAGGTCTCGAGTTCGAAACCTTGTGTATGCAGCAGCTTTTGTTGGGAGACCCACCCACCATTCTGGTGCGCCACAGCTGGTCGAGTCCGGAGTAGTCGGGGCGAAGCCCCGGATACCGGGCGGGAAACCAAAAAAAAAGAAGTAGAAAAGGAGAAACGTGGGGGTAAATCCGTAATTATGATTTAGAAAGGTTCAAGTCGAACACACAACCTTCAATCTAGAGTTAGAAGCACTACCACGACACCATAGATCCACTAATGTTTCCACCGTTGATATATTGTTAACTAAATCAAATCTATTAAAGTAGACAACTTCTCCCTTCATTCAAATTGCAGTTGTCATAGAGTGACTGCAGGGAAAAGAAGATCAAATTGAGAAATTCTCTGGACAGGTTTTAGATTCTTCCCCATGTTTATGGGATAGCCTTTTGTTGTTGTACTATTACATTAAATTAATACTATTTAGTTTGGATTTTTGGGAAGTGGAGAAAGATACTCCATATGTTGAATACTTGAGCTTCCCTTCTGCTGATAATTATGGCATTTTTTTTCCATCAATTTTGTTTCTTTTTGCTTCCCATTACAGCTTTCATGCAATTCTGTTTGTTACTGATAATTATATGCATGTTTAGTTTCTGTTTCTGAAATTCATTCATCAATCTAAACACTTGCCTTGATGTTGTTTATCATAGTTTAGGAGGGAAAAAGGAGGGGAAATCAACATATGGCTTTTCTGACCGAAACAAGATTCTATAGATTATATAGTTAAGTCTATTAAACAAGGCAATTATATTAATAGAAAAAAAGAAATAAGGTTTCATGTTTCTGACTGAGACATATATTAAATTACACTCCTTTCCTACTGAAAACAACAACACCATAACACTCCCTTTTCGGGATCCATTAGGAAACCATAATTCTATCTCCTACAAGTCCAAAGTTGTCCGCTTTTTAACACTTGCCCCTGTAAGTTTAGACGAGGTCAAAAAATTTTTAATGGGAAAAGGCATGGTAAAGATCAGTTTAGGTTCAAAAAGCAATCACCTAGAAGCTGGTGGTTTGAATTTTCAAATAGTCTCAGATGGGGATCAATGGGAAGTCCAAGCCCTTCATACATTGGATCATAGACTGAATTTCTCATAGGCTTGAAAGCAAGCCACTTTTTAGTTTGGATTAGGAGAAAGCTATTGTATGATGATACTGAAAAGTAAATGAAGTAGTATGTGTGAAGAAGACCTTGGATGGAAAAAACGTAGAGGGTTGAAATGTGTGGCCTCATACTGTTGGAATTGAGGAGTCCCACTAGTTTCCCTTACATTTAATCAAGCCAAGGTTAGGCTAGAATATTCTTAATGATACTAAAAAATATAAGTAGGTAGATACGTTCATACTTTGAACTGTTTGAATGGTGATGATGATTCACCCAATTCAACTCTGCTCCTTGTAAGGCCTTGTAGTCCATCACTCCCTTGCTAAACCATTTCAAAAAGAGAAAATATAAGCTTTCAGTGGTCTAAGACTAAGAGTCTACCGTGGAAAAAAAAATGCTATTATTGATGTTGATTAGGCACACACATCACCTTGTTGCTAGTTGATTCCCTCATCTGTAGAGGAAATGATAGTCCAGGGTAGAAATTGGGGGTTTCCTGTAGAGAAGATTGATGGTAATGAGTCCATTATTATATTTGATAGAGAAGTTCCAAGTCCGGGATATAAGGCAATTGGTCTAGTTGTTTGATTCTGCAGTCTTTGATTTTGCATAGTTTGCAGCCTATAAAGAAAGAAAGTTTAGTTAGGTTTAAAAACCTTACTAAAAAGAACTCTAAAGACTAAGTTATGTACCTTGAAGGCATGGAACGATTGTGAAGAAAAGAGTTTTGAAACGAAAAATTCATCATATTAAGTGCTCCAGAGGCTTGATTTAACTGTTGGTCATCAGATGCACCTGGAAATATAGGGGTTCTTAGCAATTTCAAATTATGGTGCTATAAATTAGGTAAGTTCTACATCATTTGCTGATGATTCGATAACTATTGCAACTTGTAATGTTTAACAAATGATGAGTGCAAAAAGGTGACATTATGAAACTTAGTTTTATTTAATATGAAAGAGTACTATGGAGGGGGCACCTGGAAAGCATAAGAGGATCTTTCATCGCAGGGTTGGAATGTGTTGGATCAAATAGACTTTGCATCAGATTGACTGCATTGTGTTCTTAATTTGCTTGATATTGTTTTGGGGGCCTAATTCCATAAAATGAAGTTAAGCTAATATTAATCCACCAGTTTTCTTTCTTAATTTATAGAAAATCCAGGCACCTCAAAGACAAAGACAATTCAGGCAACATGTTCTCATAATATCCTCTAGGTGCCAATGGGACTTCAATTATGTTGTTATGGAAAATGTTGAGGCCTTAAATAAAAAGCAAGGAAAGGCCTTCAATACTTATAGCAATTTTAGGGAAGAGTAAAAAGAGAGAGACAGATAGATGAAGCACCTAAACAGTGTAGCCATAAAATGCTCAAGTAGCATAGAGTTCTGAAGCTGTGAATTAAAACACTTGGTATCACTGGAGTTTGATTAAGTTGTTGATGATTATTAAAAATCAAGGGCCTAATTTGGAGATCAATTAGAATACAGTCAAAACATCATGTATTAATTTCAGAATTTATATAATAGGTACCTTAGAGCTGTTGAAGATCCAAGTAGCATGGAGTTGGAATGGGGTTCAGAATTGTTGGTTGCTTTGAATTGATACATTTCCAACCTAAAATCATAACCTTTAGAAAAAGTAAGAACATGTGGATGTGTAGTGTAAAGATACATTCAAACTTTATACACACTAATGATGGTAAATCACATACCTTGGTTGAGCCAAAAGCCTACAAAGATAATTCTGGTTGTTAGAAAACCAAGTATTAAATGGTTGTTGGTTGATATGTGTTGATCTTTTGTTTAGAAATCCCATCCCCATTGTTTGCTAAAGGCAAACTCAACAAGGTCATTAAAGGGGCATGTGTGTGTATGTGTGTGTGTGCACGAATGTATGTGCTTGCATGCATGGTGGGCTATACTAAGACCATGATCCAAAAATAAACTCAAAAAGCTGTGAGGGAATGCATTAGGGTAGGGGATCACTTGCTCATTGTTGTTGAGACTACTGTTTGTCACGTTTTCTGCTCTCAATTGATTAGAAAACACTGTATTGTTGCCTAGATTGGGTGTTTTCATCTGTTGAGACCTATATCGATGAAAAGAAGAAATATTCTTTTTGAAATGTTCAATATGGATGCAAGCAGGAAAGGAACAAAATGGAAAATGAAGAGGAAAATGCATTGACATACGATGGCTGCTCAACATGGAAGGTATTTCCAGTACCATATTGACCACATAATTGATTTTTTTTAGCTGAATTGACCTCATTCCATGAGTTAAGCATCTGAAGTTGATCATTTCCATTTTTGTGAATGTTTTCTTGCGATTAAAGAAAGAAAAAAAAGTTAGATATCCGTTACATATATACTAATAGTTGGTTCTACTATATCTTATGAACTCTATCGAATGGAATTGGTATTCATATATACTTGTGTCAAAAAGTTTGGCATTGTAGGAGTAAAGAAGGAAAATTCTGTTTGTTGGGCATCTATGCCATCCCCAAATGAAGACTTGGAGCCTTCAAACCTAGGAAATGCTAACTCCTTGAAGTTCTAATTTGAGTTTGCATGGTCAAGAAAAGATTCATCTCTTCCAGCTGATGATCCTAATTGCAAATGCTCCTGCTGTCAACCAAAGAGAGGGGGAAGGAAATTTCAAGTCACTAATCTAAGGAACTAAAAAGATAAGAAATCTTTGATTGCAAATTTTGTTTGATTACTACCAATAAATTTGAGGGCAGAGGTTGTTCATCAGAATAATTACCAACTTGCTCATACTCATAAAGCAAATCAATGAGGCATAAACGAAATGAATATGCTGCTTAAAGAAAACCTTTAATGTCAAAGAAATATTAAATTGTAAGATGATCACATGCAACTCCATGCTAGATTAAGATGTAATAATTTTTATGCGATGTAGGAAAGTAATGTCGTGGTTAATCTTGGAAGCACTAACATAGCAAGGTTCTAAGGTCTCAGTGTTGAAAGGATAAACATGCTTCTAATATTCAGTTCATGTATTTGGTAGGAATAATTTTTAATAATGTATCTAGAAGAATGAGGTTCCTGTATACCAGTTAATTTGGGGGGAAGAACCAGTGTTTATGATTTACCTATAAATAACTTTGTAAGTTCTCATTTTCAATGAAGTTAATTCAGAGAAAATTGTCTCCAAACCCTTCTCTCTTCCATTGTAAAATCCTCATAAGTCCATTTATATCCAACAAAGCGGTATCAGAGCACTTATCCAAATGGCAAGTGGGAATCTAGTTTCATTACAGGTTCCAAAATTCTCAAAAGAAAAGTTTGACAATTGGTGCATCTGAATAAAGGCCATACTCGGTGCACATGATATGTGGGAAATTGTTGAGAATGGATATGATACTCCTCCATACATAAGTGCTCTTACACAAGCACAAAAAGATCAGTTTAATAACATCAAGAAAAAGGATCAGAAGGCCATTTCTCTCATTCACCAAGCATTGGATGAGATTACCTTTGAAAAGGTTTCTAATGCCACCACAACAAAGCAGTTGTGGGAGAAGCTTCAAGCTGCCTATAAAGGAAAAGGAAAGGCAAAGAAAGTTCGCCTCCAAAGTTTGAGAGGTGAATTTCAAGTTGTCCAAATGAATGAGACAGAAAAGGTGTCAGATTATATTTCAAGGGTCATGGGGATTGCCAACCAGATGAGAAGACTTGATGAAGAGGTGACTGATTTAAGGATTATTGAAAAAATTCTTAGATTAGTTACAAAGAAATTTGATTATGTGGTGATGGCCATTAAAGAAACAAAGGACTTGGAAGACATGACTATTAAGGACTTAAGTGGTTCACTAGAAGCACATGAGGAGAAGCTCAATAAAAGAAAGAAAGAGCCCGTGGAGCAGGTTCTATAGTCAAAACTTTCTCTGGGTGATAAAGAACAAAAAGGAGGTGCAAGTCAAGGAGGACGAGGTCGAGGCCGTGGACGCAGTCGTGGTTGAGGACGTGGAAGAGGAAGAAGAAATGCCCAAAACATTGATCAAAGTAGAGATGAAAATTCCTCGTTCACCTCTTGGAGAGGCCATGGCAAAGGAGGATCAAGGCCATATCAGAATAGGTATGACAAATCCCAAATTCAGTGCTACACTTGTCATAAATTTGGGCATTATTCATGGGAATGCAAATTTGGCAACAATGTGAAAGCTAATTTCTCTCAAGATGAAGACAAAGAAGCTAATGAAGAGGTGGAGACAACTCTCTTGTTGGCTTGTAAAGAGATGAAGAATGAAGACAAGCACTCTTGGTACCTTGATACTGGGGCAAGCGATCACATGTGTAGAAACAGAGAATTATTTGTGGAGCTTGATGAGAAAGTTGGTGGCAACCTCACCTTTGGAGACTCCTCCAAAATACCAGTGAGGGTTAAAGGTAAAATTTTGGCACGCATGAAGGATGGAAATCATTAGTTTATTTCAAATGTTTATTATGCACCACACACGAAAAGTAACATTTTGAGTGTGGACCAACTTTTAGAAAAGGGGTATGCTGTATTCACAAAAGGTTGTAGCCTCTACTTGGAAGATTGTACAGAAAACTTGATTGCCAAAGTCCCAATGTCAAAGAATCATATGTTTGCTGTGAACATACATACAGATGTGGCTAAATGCTTAACATGTTGTTGTAAAGATTCTTCATGGCTATGGCATTTGAGATTTGGGCATATGAACTTTAGAGGACTTAAGGTTATGGCTAGTAGAAGAATGGGGAAAGGCTTGCCTTCAGTGAATCAACCTGATCAACTTTGTGAGGGTTGTCTTCTTGGTAAACAATCAAGAATGAGCTTCCCAAAAGAGTCTTAATCAAGAGCTACGAGACAAAACATGGGTATATTTTCTTAAAGAAAAATCAGAAGCGTTCAAGTGTTTCCAGAATTTTAAAGCACTTGTGGAGAAGGAAAGTAGCTTTAAAATCCAAGTGTTGAGATTTGACAGGGGAGGTGAATTCACTTCTAAAGAATTTCAAGAGTTCTGTGCTGCCAATGGAGTTCGCCATTTTCTTACTACTCTAAGATTGCCACAACAGAACGGAGTGGTGGAAAGAAAAAATAAAACTATTCTGAATATGGCAAAAAGCATGATGAAGACCAAGAAGATGCTAAGAAGGTTCTAGGCTGAAGTTGTTGAGTGTGCAATCTACTTGCTGAACCACTACACAACAAAAGCAGTTAATAATAAAACTCCAATTGAATTATGGAGGGGAAGAAAGCCCTTGTCCATCACTTGAAGGTGTTTGGAAGCATTGCATTTGCCCATGTTCATGATGGAAAGCGTACCAAGCTTGATGACAAGTGCAAGAAGTATGTGTTTGTTAGTTAGGATTCTAGAACGAAAGGGTATAGGCTTTACGATCCAAACGATGACAAAGCAATCATTAGTAGAGATGTGGATTTTGATGAAGAAGCCATGTGGGATTGGAAATCTCAGGAAGAGAATTATGAATTTCTTCCATCTTTTGCAGAAGAAGATGATGAAGAAAGGCAAGAAGTCATTACTCCCCCAGCATCACCATCTTGTGGTGAAATTTCATCTCCAAAAGGAAGCTCAAGTGAAGGGCCTTTGCAAACAAGGAGGCTCAGTGATATATATCGAGAAATTGAAGAAATTGAAGAAACTAATCTATTTTGTCTCTTTGCAGATATTAAGCCTATCGACTTCAATGAAGCTGCCAAAGAAGAAAAGTGGAGAAAAGCTATGGACGAGGAAATGAATGCAATAAAAAGAATGATACTTGGGAGCTAGTCACTCTTCCTCCAGGACATGCTGCTATTGGAGTCAAATGGGTGTTCAAAGAGAAAAAGAATTCCAAAGGAGAGGTGGAAAGATATAAAGCAAGGCTTGCGGCTAAAGGTTACAAGCAGCAACATGGCATCAACTATGAAGAAGTTTTTGCACTGGTAGCTCGTATGGAGACGATAAGGCTGATAATTTCTCTAACAACTCAAAACAAGTGGAAGATTTTCTAGATGGATGTCAAGTCAGCCTTCCTTAACGGCTATCTTGAATAAAAGGTGTATGTTCAACAACCTCTTGGCTATGTTGTAAAGGGTGAAAAGAACAAGGTGCTTAAATTGAAGAAAGCTCTATACGGCTTGAAACAAGCTCCAAGAGCTTGGAATTGCAGAATTGACAGATACTTTCAGGAGAATGGCTTTGTCAAGTGCCCTTATGAACATGCTCTCTACATAAAGGTGAGCAATGGTGGAATTTTAATTGTTTGCTTGTATGTAGATGATCTAATCTTTATAGGCAATAATCCGAGAATGTTTGAAGAATTCAAAATGGCAATGAGCAATGAATTTGAAATGACAAGTATAGGACTCATGTCATATTATCTTGGCATAGAAGTGAAACAGATGGAGGAAGGCATCTTCATTTCACAAGAAAATTATGCGAGGGAGGTGCTTAAAAAGTTCAACATGAGTAATTGTAAACCGGTAAAAACTCCAATTGCCTGTGGCATCAAGCTGTTCAAGTTTGAAGAAGGTGGAAGTGTGGATGCAACTCTTTTCTAGAGTTTAGTTGGAAGTTTGAGATATTTAACTTGCACAAGACCTGATATTTTGTTTGGAGTTGGATTAGTTAGTTGATATTTGGAGGCTTCTACAACAGTCCATCTAAAGGCAGCAAAGAGGATCCTTCGCTATATAAAAGGTACTGTTGATTTTAGGTTGAATTATTTTGCCTCTAATGACTTTACTCTTAAAGGTTTCAGTGACAGTGATTGGGCCAGAGATATTGATGATAAAAAGAGCACCACTAGATGTGTGTTTTACATGGGTGATACAACTTTTACTTGGAGCTCGAAAAAGCAACCCATTGTTACTATGTCAACTTGTGAAGCAGAGTATGTTGCTCTTAATTATTGTGTAACTCATGCAGTTTGGTTGAGGAATTTGCTAAAGGAGCTTCATGTCACACAAGAGGGCCCAACAGAAATATATGTTGACAACAAATCTACAATTGCATTGGCAAAGAATCCTCAATTTCATGAATGAAGCAAACATATTGATACCAAGTATCATTATGTGCGCCAATGTGTTGAAGACAAAGTGGTGCAGCTAACTTTTGTGAAGTCTCATGATCAGAATGGCAAACATTCTTACCAAGGCTCTCAAGTTCGATGATTTCAAGAAATTAAGAAGCTGTCTCGGAGTTGGTAGAAGTCATGTTTAAGGGGGGTGTTGAAAGGATAAACATGCTTTTAATATTCAGTTCATGTATTTGGTAGGAATAATTTTTAATAATGTATCTAGAAGAATGAGATTCATGTATACTAGTTAATTTGGGAGGAAGAACCAGTGTTTATGATTTACCTATAAATAACGTTGTAAGTTCTCATTTTCAATGAAGTCAATTCAGAGAAAATTGTCTCCAAACCCTTCTCTCTTCCACTGTAAAATCCTCATAAGTCCATTTATATCCAACACTCAAGGCCAGCAAATCTGTGTTGGGAAGGATCATAAACAATATTCAATTGATTCTCGCCTTCTCCCTTATCAGCTGGAGCTTGGAGTTCCAAACCGTCCTGTATCAACCAAAGCTAAGATATTACCAGTAAGGTACAAGTTCAGAAATGAGGAGATTAATGGAAAGTTTGTGTATGGTACTGTTGTTTCCTGTGGCTGTTCGAATGATTTTGTCACTGGAGGAATCCAAGCTGCAGGTGAAAATGGGTCTGGTGTTGGATCGAGGGGGGGAAGCTCGAAGAGTTCACTATTAATATGAAAAGAAGCTGCAACATCTTTGTTCTCCTGACAAACATTATAAACAATTTTTTTTTTTAATACACAGCTTTCAAAGTCACTTTAAGAGTTTTTGAATAGTAAAAGAGAGAGATTAATAATGTTCATCATGTCTAGCCACTTACATTTGAGGAATTCACATTGGTTTCTTCCATCCGATTTACCTTCTGCATGTTGGGGTTATTAGACACCTTTTCTGTGTTTGGATCATCAGCCTTCCATCTTTCTAGTACAAATATGAAGACTTTTTTTTATCTGAAGTACATGAAACAAATGACAAGAAATAGCAGAATTAATATTGGTCCAAAACAAACCATATAATCAATAATGTTATATGTTAAGTTGAACTTCATACTAGCATATACAAATCCTAATGTTGTTGTTAATCTGTGTTAATTATGCTTATTTACTCATTTCTGTATTATTTTATTTCAAAATTAAGTGGTTGAAGATAATCCTTGATTATTTTTATATTCTGCTACATTTTATGGTAGTGGACCCACTTTTCATATGCCTTTATCATGA